TCATGGAGCCTTGTTTGGCCATCACTAGTGAATGGAGGAAACAAGCACACGAACTGGCAGGGTGTGGTGAATGAAGAATGAACCAGCAAGAGACTGAGGGAAAGGAAGGAGTATATATAGGCAGGAGACCAGAGGATAATGAGCAGCAGGTGGAAGCAATGAACAGTAATTGCGAACCAGGGTAAAGCTGGGGCAGTCGAAGTGACACAAAGCAGGAAACTAACCAAAATAAAAGCACCAAACAGGAAGCAAGTCCACAAACCATAACACTACCCCCCTTCAAGGATGGTGTCCAGACAACCAAACAAAAAACCAAAACTAGAGCAAGGCAAAGCAGGGTAGGAGGCGGGGGACCAGGAAGGTGGGCACGAACAACACAGGATATAACAGTTCAGAATTGTCCAAGAACGTGCCTATAGTCAATCAAGGGAAAACTTAGGGCAATGGGCAGAGAACTCAGGATAACCCCCAAAAGGGGAAGGTTCAGGCTCTGGCAGCAAATAGAAGCCACTCCAGAGGGCGAACTTGAAACCAGACAGGAACCTGAAGAGACCGCTCGGGAGCGCGGTTGCAGGACCAAGCAGAAGTCTGGGGAAGGCATTCGGACTGACAACCACAGGTCCTGGCGGGACTGAGTGGCCATGGGACCAGGGAGATCGGAGAGGCCACCCGGGAAAGGACGGCCTCGGCACCAGTTAGGAGGTTGGAGAGACCACTCAGGAAGATGGCCATGTTGTCCCTTCTTTTCCTTTTTGGCTGCTTTATCCAAACAAAATACTTCATGCACAAGTGCAGCTGTTACCAAATGCTGGAGCTTATGGGAAGTAGTCTCAAGAGATATCTAGTTGCAGAATTGCAAATACTGACCCTGCAGGATCCCCAGTCTTTACAAAATCATAGTATATGACTAAAAACTCTGTGACTAATGACAGATGTGAGAGGGTATAATTCTAGAGTCTTTTAAAAGTCATTTTAAGTCTAATCATCATCTTCTAGTGTAAAGCCACTTTAAGTCACATAGTCTTTTAACCAAGCTGGCTGACACATAGTGCATTTAGGCCTAGGAGAGTCTGTTAACTTAGGAGTGTCAGTTTGTCTACAGGGATCAGTGAATTGTCTGTGGCTCCTAGGTGTGTGGTTTGGTTTTCAGATCTGTACTCTGTCACCTTCTTTGAAGCAGGGTTTGCATGCGCCTCTTTTGGCTTCCATACAGTATATGCCTTCATTGTCTGTTGTCTGCTTTGAACAGTTTCATGAAGAGCAGCAGCAAGCACTCAGGTGGCTGGTGGGAAGGACTGGCAACACAGTCAGCTTTGTTCACATTTTCCTCTTGAATGGTGAAACACCAGTCAAGGTATAAGGAGTGGAGTGGTAGGCCTGAAGGAAGTTGGTGACTGTTGACTTCCAAGGCTTTTCCTGAGTAATATCGAGTTAGTGTTCCACAGTTCCATTGATGGCAAGGTAGTAAACTGATGAGTGGTGGTGGTCAATCTGTCGCTCTTTTAAAAAAGCAGAGAAGTCAGAGGATGTGAACTGAGCTCCATTATCTGTAATAATGCTCACAGGGTTGCCATGGTGACTGATAACTGTTGCCAGGAAGGTAGTTGCAAGGTGCATAACATCAAATCAAATCTAATTTTATTTGTATAGCGCCAAATCACAACAAAAGTCATCTCAGGACACTTTACAAAGTAAGGTCCAGATCTTACTCTTATCACTATTATTATAGAGGAAAACCAAACAAATCCCCCTTGAGCAAGCACTTGACAACAGCGGGGAGGAAAAACTCCCTTTAATGGAAGAAACCTCCAATAGACCCCGGCTCTTGGTGGGCAGCCTTCTGCCTTGACCGGTTGGGGTGAGTGGATAGAGGAGAGAGAAAAGAAGAAAAGCAACAAGACATAACAAACAATCAAACACTGGTCAGGTTGATGTGGCCGGTGACTGCTCATCAGAGATGTAGAGCTCCAGAGCCAAGGCAACCTGCAGAAGGGTACAGGGAGAG